TATTCCTGCTGAGACTAACTAAGATCACAAAATTTAAGTAAGGCAATGTCACGAGGCAAAGCATTTTTGAAAGAATCAGAAGAGAAAAAAAAAACCCTTTTTTTTCACATCAGCAGCACAAAGTTGTGATTTATAATCACAGAGCATAGGGAAACTGCCTGTGTTATGTGATTGGAGATAGCATCAACTTACAAGCATTTCCCACTATGCCACTACATCTCACAGTATGACAAAGGTGATAGGACCTGCAGCAGCTAATCAGTTTATTTCATCCATAACTTTGACGAACTACTACCAGTCTAGTTCTCACTTCGATCTATTATTATTACTAATCAACATTTACATTATGGTTTGTAGTCCCAATTTTATAGGTGATTAAAATAATCATTACTACTTTTTTTTTAAAAAAAGATTTATTTATTAAAAATTGTATAGGATGAAAAAACTGATTAGGGGGATTTACCTGAACAAATTTTCCAAAATCACGACCTTGAGGAGACCCATGATATAGAGCCAGAGTTGCACCAGTTAGAAAGCAATGATACAATACAGTTGGTCCAATTACCCATCCTAAATTTGTAGGCCAGCAATAGACATCTCCAGGTTGGATATCAATGGCAGCCCATCCATCAGCAGCACTTCGTATTGGTGCAAGTTGAGTCCAAGGAATAGCTTTTGGATCTCCTGATGAAAGCAAAAATATAACCAGAAAATCATTACATTGGTAGTCGCTACCTGATACATTCAAAGGAAGGATCTTTACCTGTGGTTCCAGAAGAGAATAGTATATTAGTGACAGTATCCACCGATTGATAGCTTGGAGAGTAATGATCTGACCTGTCAAGTGTCAAATGTTAAGATGAGTCAAGCACAAGAAAAAAATGCCACTTCTCTCTCTCTCTCTCTCTTCCATTTCTGGTATCTTTATAAGTGATTATTTTAGTTACCAAAATGACCATTGTTTAGATTATGATATTGTTTATTGAACACATTGCAGTGTGAATTTACCTGGGGTTCTGAGTCCGATTGGCAGAAGAGAGAAAGCCTTTCCATGATAAATCTTGTTCTCTTAATTGTACTCCTACATCATCACCCATCACCGGGAGCACAATAACTTTACATGTAGCTGCCTCAATGACTCGACTACCAGGGGAAATATCAGAATGAGATAGAATCTTGAGTTAGCATAGCATCTTGAGTTAGATGACAAATTATGATTGAGACTGGTATGAAATTTCTATTTACAACTGAAAAATAAATTCATTGATGAGAGTGAGACCATTCATTTGTGATACTACTAATGCCTATGACATGTGCCAAAAAAAGTAAGCAGAAATGAGAAAAGAAAACAGGGTTCTAAAAAAACCATGTCCTGAAATTCAACATGACTTTGATGATTTAAAATTACTTATATTCAGATTGACTCCTATATTCTAACACCAGGATTTTTCTGATGCATCATAAATAGATTATCAGTTGTCCCAAAAAAGCTCAACAATGTGTATTTCAAGCTCAAACACAAAGACGTCCCCTTACTATTATTTGGACTATGGCATTGAATTTGAATGCAGAAACAAGAAAAAAAAATATATTGAAACATGATTCAGAGGATACATCAACAGATGATTATTAAATCACCTAACTAAAATGAATACCAAATTGTTAATGATACCAAAAGTTAATCATAACAGGAAATAAGCTTGACTTGTGCGTTGCACTTAGCTTGTCAACTATAATCTGAATTCTGAACAGAAATTTGACATAGGCAACAGAACAGTACCTTTGGCTAATTTCAAATATGATTTCAATATTCAGAAGTTGAACTGCTGAAAACGTAGCGACAGGTATAATGATAGCAACTATTTACCTGTACAAAGGGAATTTCTTGCCACCTCTTGCTATGAAATCCTGAAAACAAAATAAAGTTGAGCAAATACAAAAATCTTAATTTGTTACTAAAAAAATAAGAAGTTAATAAAAATCTACTCAAATATTGCATAAAACTTGGAATTAAACCAGAGATTACAGAAACTGAAATAAGAAAGAAACAAATGGAACATTACAGTAACTAGGCTACCACTTCGAGGGACTAGATGCTTCCCAAGTCCCACTCTTCCCACTGAATGCTTGCCTGTTTTTAAAAAACTTCCCACCATTCTCACCTTTTTTGCCAATTGTCCAGCAGTTACAATTTAATTACAAGAAAATCCCCTATGCATATTCCCCTTTTCCTCTCATCTCTTTCTCATTTAAGTTGTTAATCCATTACCTTTCCCTTTATATTTCTCATTCACATAGATTGTAGTAGTATTAGATATCTATCACAAGTTAATTTTATGAATGCTTGTATCTTATCTTATACCGATAAATTTGAAGCTTATAACATGCAATTTGTTAGCCACCAAACTGTTTGGTATACAAATTCATAGGGAAATTCAGCAATTTATTTTCAAAGAACCCCTTCTTTCTGTCTCTCTGTCTTTTGATTTCTAAAAAAAAATAATAATAATATTATGTGCAACACTTGTCAAATATGTGTAACACAATGAAAATTTCAAAAGGAGTTTTAACAGCATACAATGCATGTTTCTAAAGATAATATTTGTGTACAGTTCTAGCATTAACAAAGTTGGGTTGAAATTTTGAAACCTTAAAGAAATGCCTGGTATAGAAGCGTAAGTTTCCAACGGAACTCCAAAGGTCAGTATTTTTAATCCAACGTATAAAGATATGGTAACATTAGTATTAACAGAGACAATTCCAAATACTGAATAGTTTCATTTCAATCAAAGTTAGCTTTACAAATGAAGTCATACACATAGAACACTTTTAAAACATCACCTGTGTGAAAATGCCCTTTGCTTTAGAAACCCGGAGGCGGCTTGCAATTTCTTTTGGTGCAAAGCTATCAGCTATTGATACCACAGCACATCCTGCTAGAACAATGGCTAAGTAGATGATTACGGCATTGGCTGTCATTTGCATGTCAATTGCGATTGCATCTCCCTTTGAGAATGTGGCATCTATTGCTTTAGCTACCAACCTGGAAGAATATGGCAAAAAATGAAGAAAAGAAAAAAAAAACACTTCAATTTTAAATCCTAAAGGAAGGAGAAAAGACAAAAATAAAAGTAAGACACAAGTAGGAAGGGGGTGGAAACAAAGAATACCAAAATGATACACAACTTATCTTGGTCAACAGTACAAAATTCAACACAATGATGCACAAGTTACAATTTAAAGGGGGAAAAATGTAGAGATCACATACCCCATATTAAGCAGCATAACTTTGGTTGAAAAGGCAAGAATGCGAGTTGAAAGTGTTGGAATATAAAAAAAGTCTCACATGTTTAAAATAAGAGGATGTACATGGATTTATAAGCACACACAATGTCTCCATTGGTATGAGGCCTTAATGGACAATATCATATCAATTTGAAGAAGTGTGTGTGAATCTCCCGTGTGCAACAACATATCATACTCCTCTTGAAAAATATCTATTTACAAACTACAACAAAACATAGATACAAAACAACCCATCAGAAAGGCTTACATTACTTGGTGTCGGAGTTGTTTAAGCGAGATTTGATTAACCCGAGAATCATCAAAACCTTCATCTCTCCAAACGATGGCTACACTGTCATCTGATTTGTAGGGATGTGAAGAGGGTTGCAGACAGCAATCAGCAATGTTGAGGACAGAGCCAGGAAGCCAAGTCCCTCCATGTTTAGAAGGGTCAGAAGTGTCTAAAATGCACTTTGGAGGTTCAACAAATGAAACCGATAGTTCCTTGAGAACAAGGGGCCAGTACAGCTGCATTGACAATGAGTAATAAGATTAAGAAAGAAAGAATAGATGTTGAAATGAAAGAAAGGTATTAGATGTTGGAGGGTAGTTAGGTTGCTAGCCTGAGGGTGTTGAACAGAGAAGTTGTGAAAGAGAGGAAAGCTAGAAATAGGGTCTTTGTAGGAAGGTCCTAAAAGCTTAGGACCATGAGTTTCCATGAGACGACCGAGGTTGGTGCGTTTGGATTGGTCTCTGAAAAGAGAAGAAAGAAGAATGAGTAGAGTGAAGAGTGCAGATGAGAATAAAGGAGAGAGACAGTAAGATGTAGTAGTGAAAAGGCATACGTACAGAGAAGGGAACCAATAAAGTGGAAGAGAAGCAGAAGCATTGTGAGAGTGATAAACGGAGTAGTAGAGAAGCTGATGCAAGGAGTGTGGGAAAGATGGTTTCAGCGCCTTCCGAGTGACAAGGTGGCGCCATATGAGTGATGGGTCGGTGGGAGAGAGAGACACAATATTCTTCAAAACGCTGTATAATTCATTTGCTTCTGCCACTGTTAAGCCTGTATTCACCAACTCTTCCACTCCCAACTCCATCACGCTCTCTCCCATTACTCTCTCTCTTTCGAAGTTGGAAGTTGAATAAAGAGTTGAAGATTGCAGAGAGAGAGGGGTTGTTGACCACACACAGCAGCACATCACTTCACATACACAGTTGAAAACGGAAAGTCAAAGTAACTTTTTGGATGACTTGTCACCAAACAAGTTCAGATACACCTACTACAATTTTTATTACCTGCAACATCCGTGAAAATAAAATTAGAAATAAGAAACTTTTTATTATTTAAAAAAGTTACTTTTTAACTAAATTTTTTAATTTTTTTAATATACTATTTTTTTTATTTATTTAAATAATTTGGGCATAAGATTATTTACATAAATAACCCATTTTTAAGGCCTAAGTGAAAAATTGGTTACCCAATAACCGATTTCTTAAAGGATTTTTTTTTAAAAAAATTTAAAAACTCTTTTAGAAATTGGTTACCCAATAACTGATTTCTCTATTAGGCTTTTGTTTTCGTGTGTTGGTCTTTGTCTACAACAATGTCTTCCTCTTCTTTCCGTGTGTTAGTCTTCTGGAATGGTGAAATCACTCAAACAAACGAAGGAGATACTTTTGTATCCTCTAACCCAATGTTTTTATCAGTTAGTTCACGTATCACACTTGATATGTTGAAAGCTAAGATCCAAAAAAACCTCAACTTACCATAACCACATTCAGTTGATCAACTTTACTTTCAATATCCACAAGTGGTAGGCGGAGGAATGCTTAATTTCTGGGCTGTCAAGCTTACGACGATGAAGACGTTCATGGTATGATTCAAATGGTTCGTTCCCTTAAACATCTTACTTCTGTTAACTATATGCAAATCTCACACCAATAAATTATTCCTATGAAAACCAACATTCTTCCTATGAAAACCAACTTTATTCCTATCAAAACCAATCTTCTTCCCATCAAAACCTACCTTCTTCCCATCAAAACCTACCTTCTTCCCATCAAAACCAACCTTTTTCATATGAAAACCAACCCTTTTATTATGAAAACCAACCTTCGTTAGACGATTTTCATACACATGGATCCTTTACCAACCTCCTTACATTTGGAGTCCCACAAGAAGAAGAAGAAGAAGAAGAAGTCCCTGAAGTTGGAGTTCTTGAAGAAGAAGTTGGTCCTTTCAATGAGGGGAAAGATGATGCAAGACTCCAACAAGATGATGAACAAGACGAACAAGATCATCTTCTACAACAATCTCAGCACGTAAGCACATTCAGTTTCCCATCACACATGCATAATGTTGATTTACTAACAGATTTCACCGACCTAGAGTATAGACATGCACTTGACCATGTTGACGTCGAGTACTCTACTGACAACCTATTTCAAGGCATGACTTTTAACACAAAGGAGGAAGTCTAACATGTTTTAAATGCATACCATATAAAGAAAGGTCTGTATTACAGGTTGGAGAAATTGTCACCAACGTTGATTGTTGCACGTTGTGTTAACATTACATGTGATTGGAGGTGCAGAGCGGCTTTTATTACTATAAGCCAAAAATGGGAGCTTTGTAAGCTATCAGGTGAACATTCTTGTTCATCCCCTATTATCACACAAGATCATGTTAACCTTGGTTATGTATATATCAGCAAAAGTATTATTTCTTTGGTGGAGAGTGATCCATCAATTTCAATTCCAACAATAATAGTACACATCAAAAGTGTTGAAGGGTACACAATCTCGTACCGCAAAGCGTGGATGGCAAAGCAAAAGGCAATTGAAGACTTACATGGCAACTAGGAACAATCTTATCATGATTTACCCAAGTTGCTCAATGCCATTAGTGGATTTCTTAATGGATTTGTTGTTGAGAAGCAAACAAGGCCACTATACAACCAACAAGGTGATGGTTCATCATTATGTTCAATTCTATAAAGTATTTTGGACATTTAAACCTTGTATCGATGGGTTCAAATATTGCAAGCCCATTGTTCAAGTTGATGGCACATTCTTGTATGGCAAATACAAAGGAACTCTCCTTATGGCCATGGCTCAAGACAGTAACAACAAAATCTTTCCAATTGCATTTGCAATTATTGAGGGTGAAACAACAAATGTATGGTTTTTCTTTCTACATTATCTCAAAAGACATGTTTGCCCTCAAAATGACCTTTGCTTAATTTCGGACAGGCACGAGTCCATCAAAAATGCCTACGCTAGACAAGGTAGTGGTTGGACACCCGAGAATTCAGTGCATGGGTTATGTATTCGCCATATTTTCCAAAACTTCATGAGACATTTCAAGAACACAGAACGAAAAAAATTAATCATCAATATGGATATGTACTTCTTATCACTGATTACTTTTATTTATTTGACCATATTTCAACAATAATAAATTGTTAATTTTTTTCTAATCTCATTTCACAGCTAATGAGATGACTAAGCCAAGATTCAATTACTACTACAACACACTAAGGAGAAAACCAGATACCGAATGTCTAATTGAATGGTTCAACACCATACCAAAAGAACAATAGACTCTTGCATAGGATAGTGGCCGATAATGGGGACACATGACTACCAACTTGGCTAAGGCAATTAACTCTGTTCTTAAAAAAATAAGAAATTTGCCAATTTTTGCAATTATTATGTCGACTTATAAGAGATGTAATGTCTTATTCATCCATAGGGGGAAGGAAGTCGATGCTAAACTTAGGACTGCCCAAGTTTATACTGAAATAATCAATAGGGCCATGAGAGATGCATAATCAAAGGTTAATAGTTATCATGTCCTCGAATTTGATCGTCACAGTACACATTTTCTAGTGCAAGAGATCATTAACCCAAGGGAAACACGACCTACTGGAAATTTTACAGTTAAACTACATGACAAGTGGTGTGACAGTGGAAAATTCCAAAAGCTACACATGTCATGCTCCCATGTTGTTGCTGCATGTAAGCATGTTCACCACAATTACAAATCTTACATAGATCAGGTATACACATTAGAGTATGTTTCAAATGTGTATAACGAATTACTTGGTGAATTGCCCAATGAATCTTATTGGCCGAATTGTGAAGAACCACAAATCATACCAAATATGGAAAATATTATAAATAAAAAAAGGTCGTCTAAAGTCATTCAGAATATGCACTTAAATGGATATGGTTGAACCAGGACAACCAAAAAGATGTTCTCTCTGCAGGAATGTAGGTCACTCCAAGAAGAAATGTCCTTACCATCAACGGAATTCAAGCCAACAAACTTAAAATGTTTGTAATTCCAAAATTTGTACTTTGTTTTCTATTATTTTATATAAAAATACTATATTTTTTTTAAAAAAATTATTTAATATTTATTTAATTATTTAATCTTATTCTAAAAACTTAACTAAATAAATTTTTTTCAAAAAGGCTAATTTTTTTAAAATCTGAAAATTAAAAATTTAAAAATTTAAAAATAAATATCAAAATTTGGAGAAAAAAATGAAAAATGAAAAAAAAAACCCAAAAATCTAAAGAAAAAAAAAAGCCCAATAGAGAAATCATTTACTAGGTAACTGATTTCTCAAAAGGTTTTTAAATTTTTTTTTAAAAAAACTCTTTAGTAACCGATTTCTCACCTAGACCTCAAAAAAGGGTTATTTACGTAAATAATTTTGAGTTTAGGTTATTTAAATAAATAAAAAATAGTATATTAAAAAAAGTCAAATTTTTTATTTCAAACAAAACATCAATGTTAAAATAAATATTTAATAAGTGAAACTCATGATTAATCTTTATTGTTAATTTTAAGATATTGTATTATATTATAATAATAATAATAATAATAATAATAATAATAATAATAATAATAATAATAATGTAACATCTGAATTGAATTTCGATGTTTTTAATTAATTATATGATTAGTTAATTATTAATGTTAAGTTGTTATTTTCGAACTTTGGATGAGCTTTATATAATTAATTTTTCATCAAATATATTTTGTATAACAATTAAAGTTTAATATTATATAAACTACAAGTTAGCTATTTGAATTCTGAAATATATTTAACATATTATTAAACAAACTTAATTAGAAAATATTGTTATTATAAATAATTTTATACTACAATCTTATAATAAGTTATAATTATGTACAAAATCATTTATTATAATTTTGTATTATAATAGTAGTTAATTAATTTATTAGATATGATGAAAATCGTATCATTTGATGATATTTGTATTAGTTATGTAAATTAATATTTTAAAAATTATAACAATTAGGATACAGTCATCTTTTGGTATACCAATTTTTTATAAAATAAAAAATAAAAAATATATTTAAATATATATTAATTGTGTAAATATGTTTAATTCTCTATGGATTATTTTTTCTTTGAAAAAAAAAATTAATTGTAAAATGGAGATCAAGTTTAGATTTACAATGATTAAAATAATCGATTTGACTTATAAAGTCGATAATTAATGTCTATTATTAAATCGATTTTGAAATTAAGTAGAGGATGTATCAATTATACAAATTCAAGTACTCCATCTTTTCATATTTCGAGATCGAGGATGGACCATAAAGTGATATAAATAATTAGATAATCAATTTTATCGAGTTTATAAAATGAATTTATGTACTTAATTTTATTTGTTTATTTGTCACTATTTAATATATTATTGAATTAATTCACAATGAAATATATTTATTATGAGTATTAGTATTTAATAATATATTTATATCTTATCATTTAAATTTAAAAAAAAACATTTATCAATGTATTTATGAATAAAATTAAAATATATTTAACATAAATATTTTTATACTTTTGTTTAATTATAAATTGTATACATATAAAATAGTTAACTTTATTCAATAAAAATGATATATTTAATTATGACTTTATATTTTCAATAGTTAAACTCTGATTTTTAATTAAAAAATACAAGCGTACTTGAACTAACATTTTTTTTAATATTACTTTTGTCTTTTTTCGTGTGGTTGAAAGTTTATAAACAAAACAAGTAATACTTTTATTTTTCATATAATAGTTTTAAGATTTCTTAGTATAGTTTTTTTTTTTTTGACTCAACAGTAGGTACATTGTAGTCGTAAATGTATAAA